GTGGGGTGTGGGGGGTGGAGGGTGATACTGCATATAGTGGCTATCTACCAGCTTATATGGATATACTCCTATAATTTAACAACTCTATTGCTCTACCTTTCTCATTTTCTTCTCAAGTGATATCAGTATCTCTTTAGACCTGAAAGTTTATGATATAGTTGGTATCTTCCCTTCCTGCACTTAATGCACCGATTTTCTTTATTTTCATATTTGCTGGTTGTTACATGACATGTACATTGCTGTTCTAGAATCTATATTGTGTGCCGTTTTGAGTCTTTGACTCACAACTATAAAATAATTTACAGATTAAACTTTGAAACTCACCTTCATATATTAATATAGACATGGAAAGAGGAAATGTTTATAAACCATGAGTTATTTGACTAATGAGGCTAGCTCTTAAAATGTTTGAAGATATATAACCCGTGATAAGATTTCAGTACATCTATTAACTTGTTTCTTTAGCTACTTCCTCTACTCCCTGACATTGTCAAAAGACTTTTTTTCTCTCACAGTGGCCTTAAATTTCCAGACCCCTGGTCTGCCTATGGACATTCAAAATGGGAAATTTTTGGATAATGGTGGTTCTGGGTACATTTTGAAACCACAGTTCCTAAGAGATAGTGAAACAGAGTTTAATCCAAGGAAAGTACCAGAAGACAGCAATCCACTTACACTTACAATAAAGGTATGATTAATATCTCTTTCTTGGTTATTATACATTAGATAGTGTACATTAATATTTTGAGTTCCATTGATTTCCTTTAATGCCTTTTAAGTTTCTGTTGATCTTTTCAGGTCTTAGAGGTGGCTGGTATTTTAGCATCCTTCCATATCCAAAAATGTCATCCTGTTGACTTTTTGCATGAGTGATGTGGATATAAATATTGAGGCTAAAACTTTCCCCTCTCTGAAGTTTACTTATATTATTCCATTCTCTGTAGGCACTTAATATTGTGATAGAGAAGTCTGAGCTCAGCCCACTCATTACCTTGTGGATATGCTCTTTTTTTCTTCCTTAAGTTTAAGGAATTTTACTAGATAAGTTCCAGGAGCTATTTGCTTTTCATTAATCTCAGAATTAGACTTTTGAAGTTCAGAATTTTTCCCCCTTATGTTTCTGAATATCCCTGATTACTTAGAAACTAAAACTATTCTTATGCTTTCTTTGAGTGCCTTCTCTTCATGTTTAGTAATTCATGTCAACTCTATCATTTTCCTATTCCCTCTGCATTTGATTTTCCTCTGCATTTGATTTTATGTTTTTTACTGATTTTAATGTAGATGTGAATTTTTCACCTACATTGCTAGTCCCCCCCCCCAATTT